TTTCCTATGTGACAACCTTCTTTATTTTCTTTTTTTTCCCACCAAAACCCCCTCTTATTCTGGGCAGGTTTAAGGTTTCTTTTTCCAGTTTTCAGGTTTGTTTGTTGTTCTTTTTTTTTTTCTTTTTCTCAGTGTTTTTATCATTTAGGGGAAAAAGGAAGCAGTTCTCGCTGCTCGGGTCCCTCTTTCCCCTGCAGGGGGGTGCTGGGGGGAAGGGGCCCGGGGATGCCCCCGCTCCATGGCTGGGCCTTTGGGGCCAGCTCCGTGCAGGAATGAGTGTCCTGGTCCCTCTGGATGCGCGTGGGGGAATCTCTGACGTCTACCGAGGTTGTGCTCCTGCCTTGCCCTGGTTGTTTGTCCTTCCAGCTTTGTCCACCGAGGGGGGTCACCTGCACGCACAAGTCCATCCTCCCAAACCAGGGCGGAGCAATTCCCATTGCCCCTCCCGGATCCAGGAGGGCACCAGGGGACTTCTGGCTTTGCTCAGCTCGTCCCCGGGTCCCCTCCGCCGGGGTTTATAGGAAACGGCTGTGCGAGGAAGCGCCCGGCTCTCCCGCCCGGGTGAGCGTTTCTTTCCAGCCGTGGGCGCCCCGAAAGGCCCCTCAGTGCGGGGGATCCGGTGTGAGTCAAAGCCGGAGCCCTGGGGTTTAACCACAAGCCCCAGAGTTGCCGTGTCACGGGGGAGCCGTGCCAGAGGCGTTTATAAGAAATGGAGGGGTTGCCTGAGGGGGGAGGGACCCCGGCTGGCACCGGGGGCTTTGCCCACCCCTTGGAACAAGCCACCCTTTGGCCCCGTGGCTCAGCTCTTGGCCCACGTTTTCTGCAAAGGAGCCCGTGCTGCTGCACTTCACCTTCTCATCTTGGCTCTTTCCCAGGGGTACTCGGTGCCCACATCACCCCAGAGAGCCCACATCACCCCAGGGAGTCCATATCACCCCAGAGAACCCACATCACCCCAGTTATCCTGGGTTCCCCCATCCAGCGAGGTTCCTGGTGCCAACATCACCCCTGGGTCCCTGTACCCAGGTCGGATACCTGGTACCAGCATCACCCTGGTGCCCACATCACCCCGGGGTCCTCATGTCACCCTGTGTTGTGCCTTCATCCAGCCAGGGTTCCTGGTTCCTGCATCACCCCTGGGCGCCTGTGTCCAGCAGGACACCCAGTGCCAGCATCACCCCAGGGTGCCCACATCCCTCCCAGGTGCCTGGATCCACCTCAGATACTTGTTCCCTGGTGCCCACATCCCTCCCAGGTGCCTAGATCCACCTCGGATACTTGTTCCCTGGTGCCCACATCCCTCCCAGGTGCCTGAATCCACCTCGGGCACCCGTTCCCTGCATCCCTCTGGGGGTGCCCGGCTCTCCTGCCCTGCAGCAGCAGCTGCCCGTCACCCTGTCCCTCCCCTGCCAGCCCCGTCCCCGCTGGCTGCTGTCCCCGTTCCACACGTGTGCCGGCAGCTGCCCGACCTCTCGCAGATGCTCTTCCTGGAGAGAGGCACAAGGTTTTCGCACGTGCCTCGCCCTCCCCGCAGCCTTGAGGGAGTGGGGGTGAGGGGCGGCGGTGACAGGGACCTCCAGCCCTTCACACCCAGGACGTGCCACGTCCCTTCCTGGCCAAGCCACCCCGGTGTCCCTCCTCATCGCCGTGATGGGATCACCTCTTTCCCATCCATCTGCGGTGATCCCCCTCCCCGTTCCCAGCCATCGGGGAGAGGGGGGGCCCGCGGCCTCAAATGACAGCGGGGGGGGGACACACACGCCCAGGCACTCACGCCGAGCCCCGGCTGCCATGTGCCCAGCGCCATCACGGCTGCCGCGGAGAGACAAGTGCCACCGGGCCCCCCGGGGACCCTCGAGCTGCCGGCCCGGCCCCGGCCCCGCGCTCGGGACC